TAAATATATATATATAAACACAAAGAATGGATACAAATATGTAAATATATAAATATAGATGTACATGCAAATGTACATGTAAATATTAAAGTATATACATAAAAATCTTAATGTAAATACAAGTAAAAAATATAAATATAAATATAAATATAGGCATAGGCACATATATAATAATCTCCCGGCATTTAGCAGGCAACTAGCATGCAAAGAAAAACAAAAAAATAAATTTAATAAAATCGTCAGAGGGTTATTCAGTGGAAATTTGGTTTTAGTAATTTTCGCTCTCGGGTGTACAGACAGCTTCATTGACATTATTAAGGTAATAATAATAACAGTTATTATTATTATAATATGAGTAATAACAATAATAAATTATTAAAATAATAATAGTACTAATAATAATAATATGAGTAATAATAACAATAGATTAAAATGATTACAGTAGTAATAATAATAATATTACAGTATCAATTACAATTATAATAATAACAATAACAACAGCATATTAAAATAATACTAATAATAAACATAAAAATAGTAATAATAATAATAATATACGCCTATAAACATATATACATATATATAATATCTCGACAATAATAATAATAATAATATATTACTACTAATAGATATTAAGAGTGCTAGCAATGATAACCCCACAGTAGCAATGATAATAACAGTGTAATACAAATAGAAGCATTAGTAATATGAATCATAAACCAGTAGGAGTAAAAATAATAATAAACATAATAATAATAATAACAATGATAACAATGATAATAATAACAATTTAATACTACTGCTAACAATGGCGGTAAAAGTAGCAAGCATAATCAACTAATGGTAATAATAATAATAATAATATCATAATACATGATGAATAAACAAATAATTATTTTAACAGTAATATCATCATACAATAAACGACAGCAAAAAGCGGCGAAGAGAGCAGCAAAAGAACTCCAAGCAGAGCTGTGTGCACACCCCACATGTGCATAATTAAAAGTATTAATTAATTAATACTAATACTAATATATATATGTATATATATATATTATTAACGATTTAATAATGCGCTTAGGAGAGAATTTATGTTTTTATTTATTTGTTATTTTGTATCGAAGACAAATATTTGTCTAATAACAATTTGTTGTTTATTTGTTTATTCAATTTAATCATAGTCTATTTGTTTTTTAATTAGCTATTATTTACTTGTTTATTTAAATTAATTATTATTTTTTTGCTACATATATTGCTGTTTCGATGTAATTAAACTTTTCTTTGTTTTATTTCATGGAAGACAACTAACTGTTTTTTATATTATTCGTAATAAAAAGAGATTGCTTACTAATGTATATTAAGTATAAAATACAAACATATATATATATATATACATATATATAAGTACATATATATATATATATATTTATACATATGTACGTATGCA